GGTACCACAGTCTGCCAGAACGATCCCCAAACTCCAGAGACAGGGCTCTCTTTAATCTAGCAGAGAAAAAGGATTGCGAGGTCAGGGAACGGTCTTCACACGGAGCTTCCAGGACGTGAGGCCAAATGCTTGCTCTCTCCCCGCCCAGGGGGTTGTGAGCCTTCACCTCCCAGGACATTTATTGACCTCACCATCTGGCCATGATGGATTATATCAGGCCCCCTGAAGCTTCATCTGTGCTGGGCCTCCAGGGGTCCCTCTTGGTCTGGTCAGCCCCCACTGGCATCAAGGCCTAAGGCCAAACTATGTACTGCAAAGAGGTTCTACACCTGACAGAAATGCACGTAGAATTCATGCATTTACCTGCCTACCGATACTTGAACGTGACCTTGGTTATTATGTGTTATGTAATTGGAGGTTCTTGTTTAAGAAATCATCTAAAATGCTTGTAGGCCTGGGGCAATGGATGATGCAGACTGCTGACTTAAGGGGTCATTACGAACATCAGTCTGTTATTTATCAGAGTTTTGCTTCCCTGCTTGTCACCCAGCACCAAATGATAAAGGACGCTGACACTGACCAGCTGTGATTAGATTCGTGCATTCCTTTGATTTCAAGCTGTGGAAAAGCTGGGGCCTCCAAGAAGCTAAGGCAGGCATTTGCCTGCGGGCCATGGGCACTCACTGGCTTTAGGATGAGATGACGCTGAAACTCAGCAGTCACTTGAAAGCCCTCTTACGTCATCGCTTGCCCAGCACAGTGTGTCTGTGATGTGATTCGAGTGAGTGTGTGCAGAGGGAGTAGGACGTGGCACTTGGTTGGCTTGTAATTCTGTGATGTTTTTGTACGCTCCTCCCCTCAGCGGCACAGGGCTGCCTTCCGGCTGTGCAGGTTCTCTGCGAGCACAAAAGCTCTGTAAACATCAAGGACCTGGTAAGTCCCAGGTGGCGGTTGGGGATGGCAGACCCCTGTGGGATGGTGGTGGTGGTGGTTGCAGGCGTCACTGAGCCGATTCCAGCTCCTACGAGAGAGTCTGCCAGAAGACAACGTCTGCGATGGAGCAGAACTGCCCCATCGGGTTTGCTTGGCGATCCTCTTATTGGACCAGATACGCTTTCTCAAGAGCAGCATCTGGGTAGCTTTGAACCACCAACCTTGGGGTTAGCAGCCCTATACTTAACCCTTTGCACCACCAGGGCTCCTTCATGAAGACTTGTGTATTTGGCAAATGTCCGTTGCCTTTGCTTTTGTAAAATAGATTTTTATAACAGTTACCATTTTCCCCTAAACCATTCGTAAGACATGTTAGAGTATGTACTTCCTACATATGTCTATTTGTTTTTAAAGCATTCTACCATCAACCTAAATATTACTAAAGATTAAGCCTTGGTTGTTAAAAAATTAACCCATTTAGAAGGTCTCTCTCTTTCTCTTGTTTGTTTTTTTTGGACCCCGTGTATCACCTTGGTGTCTTGACTCGAGTAACGGACTCTGAAGACTATTTTTCTTGCCTTTTTTAACCTCCATGAACTACACTGAGAACAAATTTACTTGCCTGGTGGTGCTGTGACTTAGGCATTAGGCTGCTACCCACAAAGTCAGCAGTTCAAACCCGCTAGCCACTTTTCAGGAAAACAATGAGGCTGCCTTCTCCCATAAATATTTAGTCCCCGAAGCCTTATACAGGGCCACTATGAGTTGGACTCGACTCGATAGCAGTGGGTTTGGGTTTTAGTTTGTCATACCTGCTTGATGATGCTAAGGCTGCCTGGCAGTGCAGTAGCTAGGCTCTTGACTGCTAGCCAAGAGGTCAGCAGATCAGACCCAGCAATGGTGTTGCGTTTGTGGAAGAAAAGACCCAGCCATCTGGCTGGCTTAAAGACTACTACAGCCTTGGAAAGCCTGTGGGGCAGTTCTCCTCTGCCCTGTGCAGGGTCACTATGACTCAGAGGGCAATTGCTGGCACAGAACAATTGTAGCTAGTTACAGGGTTCGATGTTATGTGGTGCCTGGGAATCACATACGCTTTCTTAGACCTGACAGGGATAGTGTGAAGTAGACGTATAGAATCTGTCAGTACATTCACTCGCCCTGACTTTCCATACTTTGTCATTGGGAAATATTATAACTTCACAGGAATCCAAAATTCTGCTTTAAGAAGAAACAGTCCGTGAGCAGCAACTTTATCATGAAAAATTCCCAATTTTTAATAATTGGATAGATCATAACTTCTGTTCTCATTGTAAATTGGAACGCTTTCACTTTATAAATTACTAGCAAGTCCATTTGGGGGCATATGCCAGGAGGGAACAGAAGGACGGCTTTTTCTTGATGGTTTGTATGATTTTAAGTCAGACTTACCCCCTCACTGGGAGATTAGGGAAACTGCCAGGGTCAGCTACCCTGTGTACAACAGAACGAAGCACTGCCCGGTCCTGGGCCACGCTCACCATGGGGAGGCCTGAGCCCGTTGTTGCGGCTACTGTGCCAATTCATCTGGTGGAGGGCCGTCCTCTTTCTGGAGCCCCTCTACCTTACCAAGCCTGAGGTCCTTCCTCAGGGACTGGACTCTCCTGGTCACGTGTTCACAGTCCGTGAGACGAAGTCTCACCAGCCTCTCTTCTACAGAGCCTTTTGGCTGCATTTCTCCCAAGACAGATTTGTTCATTCCTCTGCCAGCCCATGGATTATGGAAATAGTCTTTTATGTAGCCTTTCCGTGTTTTTTTCCTTTGATTGTATATATGATGTTGAAATGCATAATCCACCTATGATGGTTCATGTATGAGTTGGGGATCTAGTTTTCTTTTTCTCCAAATGGATTTTCAATTGTCATAACATCTCAAACAGAATACCGTTTCCATCTCTTTCTCTAGATTCTTAATTTACGAGGGATCACAACAGTTAAGACTGTATATTGGTCTGTTACTGACAAGATGAAGGGAGAGACGGGGAGAATGATATGTTTAATATGCTGTGACAATTGACAAGATTATGAATGGGATGGAAATGGTTCATGTCCTCAACTGCTAACTGAGAAGGGGTAGTTCAAGCCCACTTAGAAAGTGCCTTGGAAGAAAAGCCTGGCAGTCTGTTTCGGAAAAAAAACAGCCATTGAAAACCCTCAGAGCACAGTTCTCTACTGACACAAGCGGGGTCCTCATGAGTCAGTGTTAACTGCAACTGGCTTCCGATGATGAGCGGCTATCCCCTGTGGGAAGGATGGAGCTGGCGGGGTGTGTAGAGGTCTCCCGCAGACCTACCCTTCGATCTAGATAGTGTACACTTGCACGCTGTACACACATCCCGTGCTCTCCCCGCCGCCCCAAGATCATCACCCAGACACTGTGATCAAGGGACCACGGGGCTTGGGATTCTGGGGAAAAGCTTAT